CTTCCTTTCCTCCTTGTTTAATTGCTTGCCCTGTCTGGTGGTTTGTTTCTGTTGTTGCAGAAATTGTAGTCATTTTTATCTCTATGTGGTACATCTTTCAATACTCTTTCAAGGGTTGGTTTGGTAGACAGGAATTTCTTCAGTTATTCTTTGTCATGGAAGTATCTTATTTCTCCATTAAATTTCAAAGGAAGTTTTTCAGGGTACAGCAGTCTAGGGTGAAAGTTGTTTTCTTTCAGGGCTGGCAATTCTCTCCAGGCTTGTCTTAGCTTGAAATTTTGTGTTGAAAAGTGTTATGATTGTAATGTTTTCCCTATCACCTTTTAGTATTCTGTTTTTATGCTGAATGTTTGGGATCTTAAAAATGTCTGGATGTAGATTTATGTTGGTTGTGGTGGTTTGGCATTCTATATGCCTCAGTTATCTGCATTTCACATTCTTTCCCTGTGTTTGGGAAATTTTCTACTATTGCTTCTGTGAAACATTTTTTGATGTTATTCACATTGACACCTGCATCATTGATGCCTGAGAGTCTATATTGTTTCTCTTGGCATCATCTTGAAGCTGTTGAATTGTCATTTCTTGCTGCCTTGTTGATTGCTGTTTTTGCACTGGAGTTTGACCATAGGACCTTACCTTTACCAGGAAAGTGCCTGAGACACTGAGCTATATCCACACTCCCTGCCTTGCTATTTTTAAAAGTTCTATCCTTTCATGATCATTAGCTGTGATCCTGTCCTGAAGTTCCTAAATTCTATCATCAGTTACATATAAAAGGTTTAACAGCATTCAATAGAATTTCTTTATTCTTGGATATCTGTTTTAATTTATTTCATGTTTTCTACTTGTTTCCCATATTGTTCATTCAAGGTTTCAATGAGTTTCCCATGCCTCTGCACTTTTTAAATCTATGTCTTCTCTAGCTAGGTCTGAGGTGAAAGTCGGGGTCAAAAGTAGAGGTGTGGGGTCCTAAGGTGGGAGGGCTGGGGTTGAAGTGGCCCCCCTCTGAAGTGGAGGTCTATGGTCTGAGAGCCCAACTACTGGCTTTTATTCTCACTTCTGTGTTAGGGGCCATGATTTGCTCCCCAAAGATCGCGCCCGCTTCCTGCTTCCTGGTTCTTGTTGGCCCGTGTTGCACGTAATTAACCCGCCAAGAGTGATCATCTGCCTAGTAACAGTCGGTTGTGACCAATTGCTATCCGAGTTCCTGCTATGCTGTGATTGGCTGCTTCTCGCTATATAAACTCATGTATCTCCTCCCAGAGGGAGAGGAAGAAGAAGGCTTGAGGGCGGCGGACCTTGTTAGGTCTGGCTGAGCTGTACGCAATAAAACTTTGAGAACCGACCCCATTATCGTCTCGCCTCTATCACTCACGGCTCCGGTCACTTCTGCTTTGGATTTTTGCACACCACTAGTCCTGCTTGCCCATAATTTGCACCCCAGATAGGGCCTTGCTGTGTCATAAAAAGGAAGATGAGGTGAACATATTCCCTGAGACTCTCATCAAAATGATTAGATAATCAAAATATTCAAGAATAGTAGAAGAGAAGTACCGATGATGATACATGCATGGGATAATGTACTCTCAGGTCAGTAAAAGTAGTGTTTTAGAAGGCTGCTTAAAGGCATGGAGAAATTTGTATCCTCTAATGTTTGTATCCTCTAATGTTAGGAAATGTACACTGCAAAATGATGTATATAATTTCATGGTAATTGTGTGTGTGTGTGTGTGTGTGTGTGTGTGTGTGTGTGTGTAGGGGGAAAGGACAACATGTACAAGAACTTTATGTGCCTCATTTTTACCTTTTCATTATCTAATATTTTCTATAATGGAAATGCATTCATTTCATAAGAAAACAATGGAGGGCTCATCATCTTTATAAGTGGCAAATACTATGGACCATAGTGACAGAGAAAAGCTAGAAGCTTAGTGAAAGTCATTTCCTATTCTTCCAAGGGACATGGGTGAACTACATGTCTACACTGTCCAGCCTCTGTCAGGCAGGTGCAGTGATGCTATATTCCGAGTCCTGTCTGGCCTCCTTTGAGGTTAGGTGTGTTGTGTGACTCTTGTAGGAAATGGATATGAGTAGAAATGATGCAGGCACCTTCCAGCCCTGAACCATCGCATTCTCCTATGCCTGATCTCATAGACTCATCTCACCCCAACTAGCTTTGTAGCAGATAAATTTGAGAAACTTGGAAGCCATCTTTTGGGGAACTGAGTCTGGGTCCCTTAATTATAGATGACAATGTAATTTATTGTGCAAAGCAGGAGAACTGAGAGTAAAAGGGGAAATCTCCTCATCAGAAACACTCATTTTAGATTATGGGTGAAAAATAGACTACTGGGTTAAATTTTGTCTGTAAAAATTTATCTCTGACAGAAAGCAGGACTACAGTATACATGTATAAACTTACTTAATGCATCTTTTTGACAAAATCTTTTTAAGAACTTTAATAATTATAAAATTAGGAATATAGGATAAATTCAAAGATAAAGAAGAGACGTTGTCAGCCTTAATCCCACCATGCAACTTACCACTGTGAACAGAGATTCATCTATCTTTTTATTATTGCATGCATTATCCTGAATGGGTATCAGCATGTAGAATACTTGATCATTTCCCACTTCCACTAATTCCCCTTTCTGTTTGTCTTTATTCTTCTTTAATAGTCTCTCCTCTACTTTCATGTCATTTTATTTAGTTTCCACATTTAAGAGAAGACATGTTATATGTGTCATTCTGATTCCTACTTATTTTCCTTAACATGATGATTTCCAGTTTCCGGAAATGATTTCTTATGGCACTGTGCCTCAATGATACTCTAGTGTGTATATATGTCACATTGTGTTTATCCATTAATCAGTAGACAAGGGCCAAGGAAATTTCTATGGCTTAGTTATTGTGAATTGCACTGTAAAAAGTATAGGTACACAGGTACCACTAGAGTATGCTGGATCTATATTATTTCTACAATATTGCATAGTTTTCAATTTTTTGAGGAACTGTAATATGTATTTCCATGGTGACAGTCCTAATCTACATTCTTACCCATTGCTTAGAAGCATTTATTGTTTGATAATGATTATGACTGGAGCTAAATGGAATCTTAATGTAGTTCACTCAAGTCTAAAGATGTTGAATACACTTTTATGTACTTCTTCATCATTTGTTTGTACGTTTTGGGACATATCCACAAAGTTCATCTGCCCATGTAACAACTGGGTTTTATTTATTTATTGATTGGATCTTGGTATGCAGTTCAGGCTAGCTTTGAACTCACTATGTAACCCAGACTGGCCTCAGACTCACAGCAATTCTCTGGCCTCAGCTTTCTGAGTGCTTGGATTACAGGCATGCACCACCAGGACCAGGTTGTTACTTTTTTGGTGTTAAAATTTTGAATCTTTATGCATTTGAATATTAACCTTCTGCTAGAAGAGTTGCTCACCAAGATTTTCTCCCAAGTTTTGATGGGTGTTACTCTTCACTCTGTAGATTCCTTTGTTGTGCAAATGTTTTGAAATCAATGCAATCTTCCTTGGCAATTGTTGCTATTATTCTCTAAGATATTCCACTCCTGTAACAGGAAGTCTTTTTGAAGTTGGGATCACTTGATTAAGCATAACTATTATGAGTTTTTTTTGTCCCATACACTCAGGAGTAGACCTGCTTGAGTGATATGGGATCCTAAATAAGATCATGTAGGTCACAACTGTCTCACATCTGAAGTGCAGCAGCTTGGAAGTTTGTAGGTTGAAATTCATCCTGGTTGGGCTGCCTTGTGTCCCCTCCCACACCTTTAAGCCCAGACTCCAGTGGCCACAATCAGGTCATCTCTGGCTATGAGCACCTGCATGGCTCTTCCAATATCACACATTGCTCTTCTGGAACCAAAAATATCATATATTTGACAGTGTTGTGCACAACCAAGACAGAATACACAGAATTTAATGTTTTTCAAAGTAAGATTTCTAGTGGATTCCCTATATAAATCTATTTGGGTTAAGCTGACCTGCACTGGTTGAAGGAGAGAACTTAGGGATGTTTAAAGGAAATTTCTCATTTCTGAGAGTTTTCCAAAGGTGAGACCAGAGCCTATTATATATCTGCCACAAAGAGACAGAGATCAGAAGAGTGTTTGCTGATAGAGGGATAAGTGATCCTTCCTGTCCAGCTTCCCTGGACTGACTCACAGGATGATTTACATGCCTGTAAGCAGGGAGAGACTGGATTCCAAGGCCAGGCCATGATGAAAGGGCTGAGGCTGCTCTGACTTCATTGGAGGTGATGCCTGAGCCCTTGGAGAATGCTGGATTGGAACAGGGCACAGCCAGCCCTGCCCAGGTAGAAGTGGAGAGTTCCAGGTTTTCTGGAACTGTCTGATAGAGGGGAATCACACAGAGTTGGGAACTTGCAGGAGCTGGAAAGGAAAGGAGCTGGTGATCAGAGGAACTCAGGTGGAGACAGGGGCTGGTGTGCAAAGGACAGGCAGCGAGCCTTGAGGTGGACTGAACTTCATGCTTGCCCAGGGCAGGGAAGGAAATGGGCCTGAGCTGTCCTGAGGGCCATCTCAACCTCCTAAACAGGAAAAACCTGACCCACTGGGAAGAGCAGTTCTCAAAACAGGAAATTGAGTACCCTGGGCCTCCTGGGTCTCCAGAGTTACCCCTCTTCACTGCCCAACTGTATTCTCTGCCAAATTGTTGCTGGCGCAGAGATGGTAAGGCATTCCTAAAGCACAGAGATTTATATTTGGAAGTTGAAGTGTAAGGACATGGGACTGTATGTGAGATGACACCTCCTAATGCTAAAGATACTAGAGAGCTGAGGATTAAGCAAAATGTGCTGGAGTAATCAATAAGAAAATGTATGGGATGGACTTAAGGGAATAGGAAGAGTGGGGAGAAAAGAAGAAGCCACAGCCAGAATGGCCAGCAGTGCAGCTTCATGCTCAACAGGGTTCAGGGGATAAATAGGACTTCAGTCACAGTCATTCTTTAAATCCATTTATTGTCACTGCGCAGTGGCTTGTGCTCACAGGAGGCTTCCTCTGCCTCAGTAAAGATGATGAAGCACAGAGGAGGCCAATTTTATGTCTGCTGTTAGAACTGCCCCATGGTCTTCTTTATCCAGGGCAGGAAGTGGGACACCTTCATGAAGACTACTGGGGGTGTCTCGTCCTTTGCTCCATAGGAGAAAATGCCTTGGATCATGTTGTTACACACAAGGGGAGTCCCAGAATCACCCTGTGGACAAGAAGGAAAATATGGAATAGGCCTCTTCCTGGTGATGGTCTTTGAACCTCTGTCAGGGGGCTGTGATTATGAGATGAGGGCAGGGCAGGCCTGGTTGCCTCCTTCAGACCAGTGGCTTTAACCTAACTCTGACTTTCCAGTTTTAACCTATCTGAATCTTTCTGTGCAACCCTAGAGATACTAGGTGATTACACAGAATTTGGTTAACTGCTGTTTCCCCCACTTCTACTCCTATCCACCAAGGGAATGGATTAAACACTGAACTGCTGGGGAACCTAGGCTGTCAAGCTCTGGACCAGAGCATGGGATATGGCCACTGTTATCTTCCCATGAAGTTTCTCTTTCCCTGGTTCTGTCTCTATAGGCAGTGGAAACCTCACCTCAGAAGAGATCTTCATTTCCTTTGGGTGTCCCACACAAATCTCAGTGAGAGCAGAGTAGGCATGGATGGCAGATTTGCATTCTTGTTCATCTTGTACTGTCAGATCCACCTCTTTCAGTGTAGTTGGCAATGAATCATTCGAAAGGGTGGTTTTCCCCCAACCTGCCACAAGGCACGTGTCACCTGGGTTCACCTGGCTCATTGCCTCATGCAGTCTGAGGGGCTGCACAGCTTTAGTCTGTTTGGCCTTTCTCTCCAGCTAATGGGGAATAAGCAAGAGAGTCCAGATAAGCCTGTGGTATAGACCCCATAGACCCTGGACCTACACATTGGGACGGCCATGAGAGGGCAAGGAGGAAAAGAGCAGATTTCCACTGGGAGCGACAACCCTGTATGAGAAGAGAAAGATCAGCAGGAAGGTTTGCCTCACCTCCAGCAGCATGATGTCATTGGAGAAGCTTCCAGGAACATGGTCTGGGTGTGGGATGGCTCTTTTCACACGGATGACCTGCTGGGTCTTCTCTTGTTTCTTGATGTTGTGGGCCCCAAGGATGACATTTATTGAGCTGCACAGAGAGGAGCATGGGTTTAGGTTGTGAAATAACAGAAGAGCTGTGCAGGGCAGGCTGCACCTGCTGTGCTTGGCAGTGTGGTTGCTATGTCTTGTCACCTGTGTCATTGTTCTGTACTGTCACTCTCTGACTCTAAAACTTACCTCTTCTATTTCTCCACCTTTCATTTTAAAAGTCTTCTTTCCTTCTTTAAGGCATTTGGAACCCTGTTCCTTTCTCTGAGCTACAGCTACCAAGTGCTTTTTAATTTATTTTTATTTTTGAGACAGGATCTCACTAAGTAGCTAACTTACCATGACTGGGAAGAAACATTTTTTTGGACTTTTATTCCTACATGTTTGCAGTACACAAGGACTGCATTCACTGTAAGAGATTAGTACGTGTGCCTAAGATATTCAGTTTCCTTCTTTTCTCCCCTTCCTTCATCTCCCTTTTACTTTTCCAGCCTCAGATTCATTTGGCTCAGAATACTTGATAAAGTTAATTATCATACATTCAGATACTGAGCTGAACTTTTGATCCTTTTGCTTTTCTTACTTTCTGATGAGCTCTTATGGGTTTGTGAACAGTATCCCAGGAGCTCCTAAGGCTACAGTCCCCGTGGAAGATAGAGGTTCCTGTTGGTTCTTTCAAATGTGGGCTAGTTGCTCCTCCTCACCTTCCCTTACAGTGTGCATCTGTCAGGACAAATTTCTTTCGTACCAGGACACCACCACATCTGTACTTGTCGTCTCCAACCAGACGCTGGACAAAGGCCATATAGGGATAGGAGTGGGGCTTGGCCTCACGACCCCCAATGATCTCTGAAAGAAAATCTGAAGATGGGGTGGCTGAGAGCAGTGTGGTCTAGAGAGAAGACTGGGGAAAGTGAGGGATGTAGATGGGATCTGGAGTGCTCTGTACCCAGCAGGAGGAACTCATTTTAGGTTCCAAGGGCTGCATGCCTTGGAGCCAGAATGACTTTTTCTAAACCTTAAGTCCTCTGTTCCTGTTCTGAGAAAGTCAGGATAGTGCTGTTCTTCTATTTCCTACCTTGGACACATATGTGGAGGAGATAAGGTCTGCTGAGTGATAGAAGAGTTCCATAAGATACTGGGAAGCTGCCTTCATTCCTGCTTTTTCAGTGAGTCTTTCCAATCTCCTTGAGCTTCTGTATTTTTTGTAGGGCTAGTTTGGTGGTCATGAACTTTCCCAGTTCCTCTTTGTCATGGAAACATCTTGTTTCTTCATTATTTGAGAGATAGTTTTTCAGGGTACATCAATCTGGGTTGGAAGTTATTTTGTTTGAGGGCTTTGAATACTTTACTCCAAGCTCTTGATTAGATGGTTTGTGCTGAGAAGTCTATTGTGATTCAGATGGGTTTTTCTTTGTAGGTGGTCTGTTTCTTTTCTCTGATTGCTTTTAATATTTTGTTCTTGTGTTGAATTTCTGGGATCTTAATTATTATATGTCTGGGTGTAGATGTCTTTTAGTTATAGCTAGGTGGAGTTCTGTATGCCCCATATATCTAGATGAATATCATTTCCTTTTGCTATGCTTGGAAAGTTTTCTTTGATTATTTATGTAAATAGCCTTTGTATTTCATTTATGTTTACCCATGCTTCTTCACTCATAATTTTATTTTTAAGTTATAGATCCTCTTGTCATGTTCTAAGCTTTGTATTGTTATTTCCTGGTTTCTTGTTATTTTGAAGACATCTTTCCTGTTCTGATTGCAATTTGCAAACCTGTCTTTAAGGTCTGACAGTCTATCTTTAGTTTCTTTCAAGCAATTTTGCCAGCTTTCAATTTAGTTTTTAATTTCCTGGTAATCTCTTTGAATCTGTTTCATGTATTTTAAAGTTTTTTTTATATTCTTCATTAAAGGTTTCCCTCCTTTTCACATGCTCCTCTATTCTTCCATCTTTGTCTTTTTGAGAGGTGTTTAGCATTTCTTTTATTCTTTTTCTTATATCTTCCTTTACTTATTTTAATATTTCTGTTTTAAATTCTTTTATAGTTTCTTGAAGTTGTTTCTTTATGTCAGATGCTGTTGATTCGGAAACTGCAGGTGTGCAACCCCTAATGCTGGGTTAGAGGCTGGAGACTGCCTTTTGTTCCTTCTTCACATTCCTTGATTTTTCCAGACACATGGATAATGGTGTCCCTCGCACATCCTGTGTTGGTTATAATTACTCTGAAGCATACTGTCTAGGGATTGCTGCTTTGCCCAATCTGCTGGTGAATTCTGGAGTATCAGCAGGGGTGAGGCAGGCTGGCCACTCCCTTCTGAGCTGGTTAAACACTGGGAGTCCTCACTATATTACTGTGTGTTGTGTGGGTGGAGTTGGTTAGCTTTAGCGAAAACTCAGTCTTGACTATTGTGCACAGGGGCAGGACTCAGTCCAAGCAATTTTCACCAATCTGCTCTGCTCTAGGAGTGGCTGAATGAAGCCAGCTGCCATTCTGGTTCCAGGCTTCTCCATCCTGACTCCAAAATGGCACCTGGCCAATTGCCCACTCCCGCAGGAGGACTAAGTCCCCCACACTCACTATGAGCCAGTGGAGTTCTCTTGTCCGTTGATCCCCTTTGTGACTGTGTCTTCCTGCTGAGGCCTTCAGGCTTGCCTACCATCAACTTCACTGTGACCCTGTGTCTCTGGATTCCAGGGGCGCTTTGCACAAAGTGGGGCTGGCTCTAGTAAAAGCGCATATGGCTCCTGCCTTCCATTTAAGCTTTCCTTCCCTTCCCTTCCCTTCCCTTCCCTTCCCTTCCCTTCCCTTCCCTTCCCTTTGCTTTCCTTTCCTTTCCTTTGTTTTTTTTTCACTTTAGTTTCTTCCTGGATCGAGGGGATCTATTTCTTTCCTTCTGGTTTTCTTCAGAATGCTGTATTCCAGCATCTGGGCTGTTTCTCTCAGGGAGGCTTTTTACTTTGCTGCTTATTATTCTGCCATCTTGCCAGAATCTCCAAGAAAAGAATTTCTGAAATAATTTAAAAATGTTATTTGATAGGGTAATTCCCAACATAGGAAAAATAACACTCAGTGAAAGCAATGGGAGTTTATATTTACTCATTTTTACCCTGCTTCAGAGAATACACCAGCTACTGTAGATATGTCATATAGAACTCCAGTGTGGGAAATGCCTGTTACTAACTACATGTGTAGATAAGAAAGAGGCTGAGAAACTTTAGATAGTATGTCAAGGAGAGTGGAGGTAACAGTGCACATCTATGTCAAAATGCAAACTTCCACTATCTTCCCTTGTATAGTAGAAGCCACAAATTGGTAGATCTCAACTCAGCTGTCCTAGCACGGTAACCTGGTGCAGTCAGGATACCATTGTGACGGCCTTCCATTGACTTTCATTCACTGTCACCAAGGGTCAATTCAATGAATCCTACCTTCCCTTGGACATCAGGATCAATCACCTAACTATTGTAGTAGCCCACTTAAGCAGATGACAGCTGACTTGTTTTTCAGGAAGACCAATAGAGCAGCAAAGTCCAAGACTGTGGATATGGAGCCAAAACTTTTGAGGGTGGTCACCATGGAGTTAGAGTTAGAAGACCAAGGCCGCTAGCAGGCCTGGTGTTTAGGGGACCTGGCTCCGTCCAGGCTCTCCCTTAACTTCTGCATTATCTTTGTTCATCTTGGTCTTTTCCTGGGAATCTGTTTCTTCCTCTTTTAGAGTAAGATGAGGACCAACCTCGAGTAATAATTTTTCAAAGGAGTTTTAAACTACAAATTGACTTCCCCAAAGTAAATAGAACACTTGAGTATTCATGTATATGACTGGGAAACTTTCTAAACTATTATTGTTTGGGATTTGCTTTGTGTATTTTCAATTTTTTTTTCTGAGGAAGGAGCCAGATCTTCAGTAGGTGTTGGGTGCAGGAATTTTGGTTTTCAGCCCCAAATCAGAAGCTGATTTTTACCTCATAAAGCTAAACAAGACCATTATGAGATTGTGATGTAGCATGGTTTTGTAAACAAGATGGGAAAGGGAATGCATTTGAGAATTACATGATCTTAGAGTGAGATTTAACTCTGAGTCACAAAAGAATGTAGCATTGTATATATTTGAGACATAGAGGCATTAAGTTCAAGCCAAATTCTGCCAGGCAGTGTGGAGTATTAGTGACCAGATCCTGCGGCCAGAGGTGGTAGGAGTGTTCAGCAAGGTAAACCCAGCTCCCACAGAGACACTTATTTAACAAAATACCATTCACTTTGTGTTCTGTAAGCTAAGAACTTCTCAAGAAGGAGTAGCCTGGGTAATATTAGATATAATGGGTGTATCAATAACCATGATGACCTAAATATTACAGGTATTTCCCTATTTTTCTTTTGTGGCACCTCCCTGACTCAAGTTTGATTCTGCAGAGGCAGGCACTGTAGTATTGACAGGGATTATGGTTCTCAGAAGGCTGACTGGATATCTATGGTTCCTACAATTTAATTTTTTATGAAGACATTTATATCTGCTAGTTTTCAAACAAATGAAAATAAGGCTGCCTCATTATCTTCTCACCTACTGGCTGCCAGCTCCCCATGTGAAAATCTTCTCTTTTGAATCGTTTAGCAGCTTCACATCTGAAAAGTGTGTCACTAAGGTAATTTCTAAATCTCATGCAGTTCTGAAGTATCTTGTGATACTATTGGTAGAAATTGTAAACAGAAATATAAATAAGATATTTTATTTCAGAGATTTTCCACATAGGCCTCGTAGGGCAATCTGGAGGATGGAGAGGGAGTTAATTGGTAAAGCCTGTGACACTGTCACTTTCACTGGGCTCTCTGATTATGTTCACCAGAGACTCAAATGCTCAGCACTTTTTTTTCTTGGTTCCTGGGATTGAAATGAGAACCTTGTGCTTACCAGGCAGGTACATGTGCCGCTGAGCTAAATCCCTAGCCCCCGGCCCAGCTCTTTGTAAGCACTTATAAAGAAATTGTTCCAGTGTAGTCAAAGTCAGGAAGAGCTTATGTTTGTAATCCCAGGAAAAATTATTGGAATTCTAGTAAGTAAATTTCAATTGACAAGTCCAGTGCAATTCATGGCATGAATAAAGAGTTAAACGAGTATCTGTAGTTATGGGAGTCCTTAGTCCAGCGGGAACAGTGGCTAACAGGAATAAAGGCCACAACCCAGGGCAGAACCAGGATGTCATTAACTTGTGAGGAGGGGGCTGAATCTGATGTCCTGGACTGGAGGATTTCAGGAGGTTACAACACCAGATCACAGTGGTCTAGTAAGGACACGAGTTGGTAGATTGTGACAACTTTCAAGGGATAAAAATGGGCAACCAGGTGGCTATAAGCCAAGGTTAGCCTTGATCTTAGAGGAAAATGTAGAAGGAAACAAATTTCGGGTGAGGGTGAAGAGCCACTCAGGTTACTCTGCACTTCATGTGTATCCCCAAACCTGTGGGAGAGAAATGTCCTGCTAAGGAATACCCTTCCCCTACCTAGCCTGATGGGGCCAAGTGGTGACCTCAATGGTGCCTGACTGATCTTCTGGACCTGTAAAATTATCTTCCTTTCCCTCTGCATGTGACACATAAAGAGGTCACATGTCCCTCTGGGCCCCAGAATGAGATCTGTCCACATTTTCCTCAGTGCTTAACTTTAACCCTTGCAAAAAGAGAGGCTGTGGAGAAACTAAAGTATACAAGGAGGAGCTGGTTAACAGTTTTGAAGAGGGGATTTGGAAAGATATTGAGTGGAGAAGGAGGGGAGGAGGTAGAAATCATCCGAACTGTGTCACTGGCCTGCTTAGCATGGAGTTGGTCCTCATGAACCAAAGTAAGTGACAAACAAGAAACCAGGCTTCTTACTGAGATGAAACATTTATTTAGTTGCTGGCATCTGCTCTAGAGTGATTCTAGATTCAGCTCCAGGAAAGATGGTTGTTCATAGAGGGGATTTAGTTTGCTCCCTGTAGTCAGCTCTGTTTCTTGGTTTTTCTTTATCCAGCATAGAAACTGTGAGACTTTGCTGTTGATATGTGGAGTAATCCTATTCTTTG